CATAGCCTATTTATCTCTCCGTGCTTTAGTTTCCTCAAATCTAGAATGCAATCAACTTACACATGTAGGAAATTACATATACGGGATTTAGGGAGGTGAATCATTGTGCAAATTATTGAACTATTATGCAGGTTATCACTAATCCCCATCCGTAGTACAGAGAGCACCATAAAATGACTAATTTCTGTTTGAAATGACCAGATAGCAAGTCAGAAAAACAAATTTTCTAACATCTGCTACATTTATAAGGTTGACAATATATGAAAGGGTAAAATTCATAGGGATTTCTATGACCCTACAACCAGAGTCCCTAGCCATATCTCCTGTCCAAAGAAATACAAAAGCACTAAATTGAAAATCTGACTCACAATAAATTCATGTATAAAATGAAAGGAGGAAGGGGACAAAAACAAAAAAACTGTCGAGATCACAAATCACAGGCAGTAGTACACTTTTTGATGAACCCAGAGGTGGTGTACTCTGCTTAGTTCTTGGTAGAGCATACTAAGAGTTACTCTGAGAGAGAGAGAAAAAAAAAGGCAACTTTCAGGACAAAGAAGAACCTGAAATAGTAGATAGTTCTGGGGCTATTATCCTGAAGAAAAAGGAAGTTCATGGTGCTGCCTTCAGCAGAGCTCAAATTGTTCTCCTCATCACCACCTTGAAAAAATGGGTAGGCCACTGCACTTGGAATAAATTGTAAACTTTTCCCACATCTGGCCACGGCGCTTCCTTTATCCCACTCTAGGAACAACTGCAGGCAGAACTCTCCTGTCTCTGCCCTTTTATACAAACTGCTTTTCAGTCAACTTGAGATATTACTCCCCCAGGGCCTTTCCCAGCTGGCTCTTTCGAAGCCTTCTAATATCAGTTCAAACATCACCTCCTCACAGAGGCCATGTCTGACCATGTCTTTTCTAAAATACTTTCTGTACTCATCACTCATGTTAACTGTATGGTTAACAAATCATCTTTTTTTTTTTTTCTTATCCATTTCCTCCTACCACAGGGTAAGTTCCATGGTCCCTATAATGGCACCTGAATAAAAAAGCTTCTGTAATGATTTTTTTTTTCTTTTAAAGATTTATTTATACAAGCACTGGGTACAGTCAGAAGCACAGGAGAGTGAGAGAATTCACCAGAGCGGGGAGCAGAACAGGCAGATTGACGAAGTACACTGCTGAGGGGAGCAGCGGGTGCGGCCAGAGAGGTCTGCGCGCCATGTGGGACCCTCACCGGTGGCCGGGGATCGACCTGCACAGCAGAGGCTGCGGGCAGCTTCGCAGCCCAGTGCTCAACAGCTGCGCCACTGGGGAGGCCCTTTTTTTTTTTTTTAAAAGATTTATTTATTTATTTATACAAGAACCAGGGTATAGGCCAGATGTGCAGGAGGGTGAGAGGATTCACCAGAGACAGAGCAGCGAACAGAACAGGCAGACTGACGAAGCACACTGCTGAAGGGAGCAGCAGGCGAGACAGGAGAGGTCCATCCTGCCATATGGGACCCTCCCTGGCCGGCCAGGATCAAACCAGTGCTGCAGAGGCTGCAAACAGCTTCACAGCACTGACCTCAACCGCCTGCGCCACCTGGGGAGGCCCTGTAATAATGATTTTCTTGTATCAACTGCTCTTCCCTTTGCTTCAGCATCTTTACCATCACTATCTAACATAAGCAACATCAAATTGTTTAGAAAACACATTTACATCCATTGTGTTACTAGGTTAGGGACTGGTTAGAGGTAAGGAGACAACACAGGATGGATTTACTTTTCTGTTTTTATAAATCTGTAGACTGAGTCTTAGAAAAGTTACTGAATGGCCTGATTAAGGTTCTGCAGATGAGTGGGCATATAAATCCAGGAACCCTCCATTCTCTTCAAAATATTATGCTAGGTGTCAAGCAAGAGATGCAGCATGCAGAGACAACTGAAAACTTCCAAGACTTGCCAACGCCTTAAGCACTGCTAAACAGCAAGTAACTGGAAGTATGAGTTCCTCATAACAAATCAAAATAAATGAAGATTAATTTTATTTGATTTTTGAAAAAAAAAAAAAAAAGCATTTCTGGAAAAATACAAGTAAGAAGACATTTCTAAAGTCCTATACATTTTTGTCTTTTTTGAATTAAATTCCTGAAAACATCTTTACAAAGTTCAATGAAATTTGGCTCTAGGACAGACTTTCATTTAAAGTAAACTTACATAGTTTCTTCTCTTGAACTACATGTAGACCTGATTTATTTGTAATTTCACTAAAATTTAGACTAGTTGTATGCATCAATCATGCCCTGCAGACTTTATCCTCTGTAAAATTAGACAAGTAATCAACGGACAATAAAAGGTATAGCTGTATAATACTTCCCACAAGCAAAACATGGTCACGTTTACAATTGCTTTTTGGCACTGAAGCTAAGAAACAATCTTTGACATTTGTTTTTAAAAATAAAAACATGTAATAACAACATAGGAAAGTAATAGTTCTTTAAAGATAAAAATTAGGATCAGCTTATCAACAAATAGAAGTCTATGTCAAAGTTTCTATCCCTGTTGTTTTATGCACATTATTTGTTAGCAGAAAATATTTCCTGATCCTTTCAAATAACATTCTTATTGTTTCCAAAGAGTTATGGAAGTGCTGGATCAGTGTTCAGGCTTTAATTTTTATTGTTGAATTTGTTTCAAGCTTTAAAAATTTCTACTTTGCAAAGAAGACAAGGAAGAACAAAATTTTCAGATTTTTTTCCTAAATAAAATATCTTTAAAACAAAAAATACTCATGAAACAAATTATTTTCCAATTAATCCACTTACTATTTCTTCACTGGTTGTACTTTAGTGTGTCTTAGAATGTTCTAGAATTATATGCAACCCTCTGTATTACAAGTGGACTAATTAGAACAAAGCTGATATTGGAGACATGTAATGAATTACTACATGTGCTAAAATTTTACTCTCTAAATTTGGTCTAACACATTACCTCAAATCAGAGGTACAAATATGTTTGTAAACCCTATTGAGAACTTTGAAAGAGAGCTGGCAAGCTAAAGAAGTCCATTGCCAAAACTGTGAAAGAGGAGCCTCCCTGGCAGTCTATGGGTTAAAGTCTCAGCACTACCATTGCTTTGAGTTAGATCCCCCCCTTATATGCCCTGAATCCCCAGCCAGGGAGCTAATCCACAAGGTGCAGCAGACCTCTCCTATCTGGCCCACTGCTCCCCTCAGCAGTGTATTTCATTCAATCCGCCTGTTCTGTTCCCATTCTGTCTCTGGTGAATTCTCTTACCCCGCAACACCCCCCAATGGGCCTACAGCCCATTCTTCTACGCAAAAATAAAATAAATAATCTTACAATAAAGGAATAATTCTTAAAAAAAAAAAAAACTGTTGAAGACCTGATTTTCATATAGTATGCCTGATCCTGAAGGTCAGGGTCTACAACATGCTCAGCTTGACAGTTTGCCAAGCAGCAAGGAAGCTAACACATGTGTGCGTGTGCATGGGGCATGAGTACGTGCAATGGTGTGCGTGGTTATGGGTGTGCAATGGTAACTTATCATTTCTACTTAAACTAATGACAGAATGCCATTAAGACATTCAATTCCAGTGAGTAACAAAGACAATGTGTAAATATGTTATCTGTCCTAGTGATAAGGCGCTGGCTCAGAAGTATAAAACTTTCTTTCTAGAAATTATTATTTGTATTGTAAGAGTTATAACTTCCAAGTAAAACTTCATTAAAGTGTTATGCAAATTTATGCACTTCTCATGATATTTAATATCAAATCTTTTATCTAGAAAAAAGTTGTAATGCTCTGAAAAAAATAAATGTAAAGTAAAAGAAAAAAACAGTATTACTCCACATCTGTTGAAATTTTGTTTTCTTAAAGTACTTGAAAAAATTGAGTAAAGTATTATCTTAACACTACTTTTTAAACAAGGACCCAATGTTCTATCATTTAGTAAGTACTGATTGGGTGTCCACTAATGTGCCAGATATAGAAAAGTTGAGACGCAGAAAAATTAAATAACAGATTTAAGAGCACAGAGCCCTAATGATAAAGCTAAAAAATCTTTAAAAATGCCTAGTCAACTGAGATACTCACTTCACTAACTTTGTTATTTAACATAACTCATCAGTCATTTAAAATCTTTTCTTTTAAAAGAATGTTTTCATCAAAAATATTTTATCAAAAAATGATTTTCGAAGAAATTATGACACCAAAAACAGTGTACGATTTAATTAAAGCCAACGTATTTTTCACTTATTTTATTCAGGCTATCACCATTTGTCTAATTCTTACATTTAAACAGAGAAAATAGGATCTGAAGAATTTTAAGTCAAGATGTATCATTCCTTTTAATTTATTCAATTAAAAATGGTTTCTTCCTGGTTTTTCAGCTCCAAAACCAAAAATGGTTCGTTCCTGGTAATTTCTGTTGTTTCTTACCAGAAAACTTTCCTTCCACTGTTAATAAAATGTTGTAATAGCAACACTCAGTTCTACTTTAGGCATAAAGAACATGCTATATTATTAATTCTAGATTAAAAAAACTACATATATCTTCCACTTCATAATTTAAGGGAATATTTTCCATAGATTATCCTTAGTTTCTCCCCTTGCAATAATCACAACTGTATGTGTTATTTTAGTAAATAACATTTTATAGTATTTCTAAATGGTCACATCTCATCGAATATACCGTTTATTCACTGCATTATCTTAATATTACTAAATGTAGAATAAAAGGAATGCTATGTGGCAATAGTAAAAGCCAGGTTTGTTCATTAGCATTTTCTTTTACCTCTCGGTCCAAATGAATGGACACACTGTACAGTGTTCTTAATGGAGAGCTGCAAGTATCTGCTTGGGAGGTGATGATTTTTGAAATCGATTTAGAATATGGAAACTGCATATAATTGGCTCATCTTTATGGTTTTAAACATACACACACATGCACATGCACACAAAGATAACTGACTGACATCTATTGTATCTCTTACCTAAAGAATGTGCAGCTGTGGTTTTGGAGCTGAAAAACCGGCCAAGCCCAAGATCTCCAAGTTTGACCACTCCTGTGGCTGTAATGAACACATTTGCGGGTTTTATATCTGTGAATAAATGAAGGCATCAGTGAAAGACAATGTCAATTTAGGCATTATCAAGGGATTACAAATCACTTACACAGCAGAACTTTACACATATCTTAAAAATGAAAGTTACTTTGATTTTGAACTCAATTATTTTGATTGGTTTTGCTATATTCTAATATTTAGGTTCAGTCCTTTGATTGACAGAGAATCAAAAGACCATGAAGAGCACTACTTATTTTTATTTAAAATGCATTTCGTTTTACATTTGAAAATAAACTTTGTGAAATGCAAACACAAAATAAGTTAGGTCCTTTTTATACCCATTTCAAATAAAATATATTACTAAATATCAATTTATTGATATTATCTACAGAAAATATAAACTAATTCAATTGCACATATAATTAGAGAGCCTTTAAAAACATAACTGCTTAAATAAATAATATTGAAAGTTTTTACATACACGGTGGATCAAATCCATAGAGATTCTTCACACACACTGTCTGATCACTGGTAATCAAGAATATATTAAGAGCTAATGCTGAAAATTAAAAACCTAAGTGGTCATATTTTACACTGTTCATTCTGGGAGGTGGGGTAGGGATCACTCCTTTCCAATGCATATTCTACTACTTTCCTGCATCTGTTTTTGTTTCTGTTACCAATATAATCAGCAAGGTTCTCAGAAGAGAGAAGCAGAAAAACAACTAATTTTCGTTCTTACCTAAAACCAAATCGAGTTTTATTTAGATGTTTATATTCTAGTATAATTATATTCTGGAAATAAATTATTTGAGAAAGCTTGGTATTAGCCAATGATTGGAAGGCATTTATACATAAACTGCCTGGTAACTTGCATCATAAAATAACATTAAAAATTATTCACAATTTAATCTTACCTCTATGCATGACTCGTCGAGAATGCATATGTTCCAATGCACTGCAGAGTTGAACAAAGTACTTCCAAACAGTTCTTTCAGGAATTAACCTCTTTTGTTTCTTAAAATGCTTTAAAAAATTAAAAATAAGAATTATAAGGAATAAAATATCTTAAGACTAGATCCTTATAAAAAGCAATAAATCAGAAAAACAACTACTTTTATCTATTAATTTTAAGTGTGTGACTTTCCAAAGTGCAATGATTCCAATAATTTTAACTGACATAAAAGCTCAATTTTTCCCTATTATATCCAAAGTTAGCACAGGTCATATCAGGCTACATCTTTGTGATGTCTAACTATTTCAAAAATTAACATCTATATAAGATAATTCTTTTCCTAAAAGGAATATGTCAAATTTTATTTTTAAAAAGTCAGAATAAGGTAGTCTAGAAACCTGAAGGTAATTATGTTCATTAAAAGACAATTTTCCTGACAGAAGGATTCACTATAGAATTTCTTTTAAATATTGACCCATTTTGATGATTTGAAACATCACTTACTTTATTACAAATGAAATCAATAAAGGGATTTATGTAAAAAGTTTTCATGACTATTTTTAGTGCACATGACAAGTTAACATTGCACTTTGCTTTTAATGAATGAAACTAAACTTTATGAACAACAAACATTAGAGGAAGAAAGAGCAAAAAGCTGAGCACCTACAAGCTAATCAGGAAAGAGTGGTCATCACACATGAGGGAACAATCACTTAACTAACTACAAAACCAGAGGAACATATTTAACCCCACTTTTCTACATTAGCTTTGCTAGAAGAATATGCTATAATAAATGCAGAAACAAAGTTCTTAGCATCATAAGATTCACAAAGTTTTACTGTATAAAAAATATTTCTAAAAAAGCAATAACACAATTGGTTTCCTATTTACAAATGACCAACATGAAAAAGTACATTTAAACAAGTTCTTATACAATTTTCTGACAATTATCTTTTCAAAAATATATATTTATTAACATATCAACAATTAAATATGTATTTGGATACATTTAATCTGGAAACAACATTTTTGGAAGCTCAACTAATGAGATTTTTTGCTACTGTATCTAGACAGAGAAACAGACTTTGGTCTCCAAAACTACCTCACAGATCAATTTCTATTCCTGTGACCAGTTGAGGGCAGGCTTAAGGAAAAAACATTTCAAGATCTGATAATATACCTACCTAATGGTAAGCAAAAGATTACATTTACTATCTCATATGCACTCAACATATTAAAGGATCAATCTTTAAGGTTAATTTTTATTAAGACACAAAGATTGGAAATGAACTTATTAGCAATTTCAATGGCTATTACATGAGTAGCAAAGAACAAATAGCAATTAGATGACCAGACAATTAAGAAGCAAATCAGGGTATTATTAAAATGTTGAAAACCTTCTGTATCATGTTTCAATATTAAGTCTTTTTAATTGTAGAATGTGTCAACATCCGTTTTCATTCTAAGGAGGCAATGCTGCAAAATCAGTTCTAGACATATAATTTTCTTTGAGACTTGGAATGGGTCCAAATGAAGCCTGTGGATGTGCTCTCCCTGATGCTGGATTAGCATATCAGAAGAGTGTTTGATGTCAACAGGAAGATGGAGACCAGGTTTCTTTTCATTCAAAAACAAATATACCATATCATGTAAGTATCAGACCATGAAAGAATAACTTTATGCTTTAATATAGATTCTGAAATTATAATTAACTTGGCAGTTTAAAGTCCCATTACTTAAAAATAAGTCACATATGAAGGAAAATGCAGAATGAAAAAAATGTGCTCAAAATTAATATTAGGGAAGAAAGTCTGGTTATTCTCTTGTTTTTATAGCCTTCTTTAAGACTATCTCATCAATAAATTAAAGACAATAACAATAAATGACATTCAATATTAAAGCTACCTGGACAGAATGACCTGACAAAATGTAAGTAACCAAATTAGAAACAAGTTATTGAAGAATAATTTTATGAATTTGATTTGCTCATAAAATAAATCAAAGGTAGTTTTATCATATCATTGGTATCTTCCAGTATTTTGTATTTGTCTTTTTAACTTAAGCAGTTTTTTAACCGTTCCGTAAGTATAGGGATTTGAGGGAAAAAAAAAAAAAAAACAATACTGATGATGAGAAAAGCCTGTCTGTTCTGATGGTGGCACTGTTGGCTATCTCTTAAAAAGGAGATGAACAGAAAAAAAAAAAGCAATGAAAATGTGAAGTCTTCTGACTACTGGTAATGTTTATATTAACATTACAAAGCAGGAAGTTGTATAATATCAAAGTATTAAAAAAGAAGACCTTTTCTTAAAAATTATTCCAATATCTACATGTCATTTAAATTAATTCTCCAATCACAGTGCTAGTATTCAAAAATTTTAATTTTCTCTGAAAAAAAGTCTTACATAAATATTATGGACTAGATTAGAAAAAAACAATCTAATGTCAACATATATAAAGAAAAATGTACATGTATATGTACCAAATACAACTGGATATTTTAAAAGTTAGCATAAATAAAGTGTGGAAAAGATTATGTGACTATGGTGCTTGGACTATATTTATTTTATAAAATAGAAATGCACTGTTTTAATGTCTGAAACTATCTAAAAAATTTACGAAGGCAGAAATTAGCACTCAGCACTCAGGCAACCAAATCACTTTGACATATTTTCATTTAGAGTTTTTATTTCTTTAAGTAGTCTACTCTTTTCTATGAAAAGCTGCAAATACAGTTTATTTTTAAAGCACATTTTCTATATCGGCATTATTCAAATAAACGTTAAATATCATTCAAAGTAAAAAAAAATTATGCAACAAAAGGTAGTCAATGTACATATAAACGTATATACAAACATTCTCACTTACATGTAAAAAACAATTATGAGAATTTCAATTGGTGATACTCGGCGTATCTTAAAACACACTGGCACTGCCACCAAAGGGGTGTGCATTAAAAGGAAAGAGGCTAGCTGATACAAGCTCTTCCTTTCAGAGATTTTTGGAAAATAGTCACATCTTTTTTCCTTTTAATTCTCAAACATCCTCCTACAAATTCCATGTCCAAGACCAAATCTAATTCTGAAGTGGATAGTAAATATCTATGTACCATTTGAGTTCTCACCTGGGTCCACTGGTCACTTCATTCCTGAATTCTAGACACTACAACTCCAAGTGGAACACACACCACTTTTTTCTAAATTTTTTAATTCTAGCATTCTTTCTCAAGAAATCTTGGGAAAAGTTTCAATATTACCCAGCATAAACTCATCAACAGTGCACGAGCAGAAAATGATCTTGTTTTATTTAAAAAAAAAAATAATAATGCCTGTGGTATGTCAAAATATTTAAGTCCACAGTTTGGTATGTTAATCTTTAAAGAAAACATCTAGAAGCACTAAGGGCAGCTTCAGGGTGTATAACCTGTACAGTCACGCAGGGCCCTGCTCTGAGTTTAAGATTCTGTTGTTGTCAACTTAAAATTCTTAACCGCTTTTCAATAAGGGGATCCACACTTATGTAGCTGGCTGTGGGAACCATATGTCAAACATTCTATGGAAATATACTGCTGTAATTTAAACAAAACAAAGCAAAAATGTGATTTTGGTGTGTAAGGCATTCTTGATAATTAGAAGAAATTATAATTAAATAATGAGAAATAATGAAATTTTAAGAGAATTAGGATTGCAGGCACCAGCTGTTTTCCATCTCTTCCAATTATCTCACAAGCAGAGGAAGTAAGTAATTTATGTTAAATATAAGGAAGTATTTCCTGCTTGGGAGTTGTCAAGTGTTTAATGTGGTTCTAACATAATCCATATTCACCTTTTAATAATAGATCTGATCATGAGGCCTGACAGTAAATGGCTGTGCGACCTTAACCAAGTCACTTCATTTCACTAGGCTTAAGTTTACTCAACAGAGTTTGGAGATGATCTGAGGTAGTCCATGCCACCTCTAAAATATAATCTATAATTCTACAATTTAGCTACAGATAAAACATAGATAATAAATGACTACGTGACACATGTTCACATTTTATAACACTTTACAGGTATGTTCTGTCCTTCAAAAATTCAGTTAATAAAAAGCAAAACAAACAAACAAAAAAACAACCCAGAGATCCCCACAGGTCCAGTTAATACTGTAAATGGTCTTCCCCCAAGATGAGCTGGTATTTGGAGTTCCATGTTATAAACTTGCAGTTAGGTCAAACACTTACCACGAGAAGGGATGTTATGTTCCCAGAAAAACATGTATCCCTACTTATAAACCCACTGTGCAGTGCAGAGGTTTTTTTTTTTTTTAAAGCGCAAAGAATGGGTGATGGTAAAGACAGGATGATTCTGAAAGTATAACTGACAGTTCAAAGTGTATTTTTATTATATATTGCTCTTTATGAAAACAATTTTCTTCTGAAGGCATAAAGAGGTCTCAGCACAAGTATTTGCTACACACAACTTTGGGTGTTACACAAATGTATAAAAGAGTTATGTCTCGGAATTTTGATGTGTAAAACTAATTTGCTGCATGTGCATATTCTCACACTTGGCATTTGCAATAAAGTTCAGATACCTTAAACTGCTTCAGAAGCTACAAAGTGGAATAGGCCTGATAGCCAAGAAGAGATCACTGGCTTCTCAGTTAATGTACTTCGATAAAATACTTACTTCCAAGCTATATTATATTAGTCTTTTGTTTGCTATAATGTTGGAGAATCTATTAAGAGTATTCAATTGTTGGGCCTCCCCTGGTGGCACAGCGGTTGAGCGCTGGGCTGCAAAGCTGCCTCTGCAGCGCAGGTTCGATCCCCAGCTGCTCCTGAGCCACCAGAGGAGGGTCCCACATGGCGTGCAGACCTCTCCTGCCGCCCACTGCTCCCCTCAGCAGTGTATTTCGTCAGTCTGCCTGTTCTGTTCCCCACTCTGGCTCTGGTGAATTCTCTCACGCTCCCGTGCTTCTGACTGTACCCAGTGCTTGTATAAATAAATAAATAAATCTTTAAAAAAAAAAAAAAAAGAGAGAGAGAGGGGGGATTCAATTGTTGGGCCTCCCCTGGTTTTGTAGCGGT